TTTTTTGACAGAAAATTATTTTATTTTGTAATTTTTTTTATTTAGCTTCCTGAAAAATACCCAAAAAAAAAAGAGTTTTGGTCTTCTCTTGTCACCGCCATCTTCTTCAATTACTCCTTTTTTTTTAATGTTAATATTTTCTTTTGATTTTCAGGTAGAATATAACACCAAAGCATGATTCTCCTATGTTTATTCTCAACTATCAATGTTTCAAGTCCGTGTTTGTTTTCTTCTCAACCCTACGACACCGGCAAAATACAAGTTGATCAATCTGTTTTATCAATCAACAGGGTAAAATCGTCTTTTCCATCATTAAACTTGGGGCATTTGGGTAATTGAACGTATTTTGACTCAGCAACCTTTCCACACATGCACATCTACGTGTGTTTTGCTGAGTAACGACGTATCCCAAATTTATGTCTCGCACCGTTACGTCAAATTTGTCCGTTATATCTTCATCTACCTTATGGCCCATACCCCATAAATTATCAATGCACCTAACCCACTTTAAATTGTGAAGCAATTTAATTTTGAAACTGCTATTGTGAATATATATGGGCTTTGGTATGTATTATGTAATGCAATTCATTTGTATTCGACTTTTATTGTGTATATATGGGCTTTGCTATGTTTTATTTAGACCAATTTTTTATTGTCAGATTTGGTTAATAATTTTATAAAACTATTACTTGATGTGTTTAAATTTTTTTTTTAATTATTCAGATTTTGTTTTGCTATGTTTTATTTATACCAATTTTTATAACTCAGATTTTGGTTAATAATTTTATAGAGGTATTTAATCCAGTGTTTAAAAAAATCGTATAAAAAAATTATTTGTTATTATGAGTATATAAAAAAAAGGAAAAATTGACAGGAATATTATAACCTTTGCTCCGTCCGCCCAAAATAAAACGACCTTTTGAAATTCCCCCAATAAAACGACCTTTTACCCTTATCTTCTTAAAATAGAACATCTTCAAGTGGTAACCGGATTTTGTAGGTAGAATGGTTACGTGGCAATGACCGTTGGGGTTTTTAAATACTCCTCCTTTTATTTAACCCAGCTCCATGTCGTTCTTCTCCCCTGTTCCACTCTTTTCTTTCATTTTCCTCCCTCTTTTTTTTTAATTTTAATTTTAATTTTGTGGCCTTCCATTGTAAATGGTGTCATGTCTTTAAGAAGGCAATCATCTAATGCATCTCTGTCATCTTCTAACTCAAGAAGAAATACTCGTCCGAAAATTCGGTGCAACTGGGCGCGGGAGAGATGCTGTGGTTAGAACAGTGAGACAAGGGCCTAATTTAGATAATAACTGCAAAAGATTTCCAAATGAAGATGTTGGAAAAAGACACAATTATATTGGAATTGGAGTATGAGAAAAAATTAAGAGAAGACAAAATTAAGAAATTACAATTGAAGAAGGAGAATTTGGAGGAAGATGTACAAGAGATGAAGAGTGAAATATCATGTATCCGAGTTGAGCTAATGAAGGCTTGTAGAAATGAAAAAAATTTGGTAAGTTTATCACAAAAGGTAGACATTTTACCTACATATCAACCACAATTATCACATCTATCAATCTAATCAACCAAAACAAATCAGATATTCGAAAAAATCAACCCCTAAAACAATCGCAAAATCCAACCCTAACATCAAATCGCATAATTGCACAATTAACAAGTCATCCAATTCAACTAAAGCTACTAAATTTAGCATCTAATTAGCATAATCACACCATAACACAACAAAATTAGACGCAAATAACTACAATTATCTAAATAACACATTCACAAATCAGACAAAATAAGGCAAAATGTAAGCTCAATTACATACCTTCGAACCAATTCCAGATTTTCCAACCACACAATTCGAGCCTTGTTCCTTCTCGCAAACAACCCACTTCAATCCTTTCCCCAACCACTAAGTCAGAGGAGCAATTAAATTCAATGAGCTTCAGTCCTTTTTCGCGTCTTTAATGGAGTTTGCAGAGAGGACGAAAGAAGGACAGAGAGAGAAATTGAATTAAAGGCAGGGAAAAGAAGGGTAGTTGGGTAATTAATGCCACGTAGGCTAAATTACAAGGGAAAAGAAGGGTCAACCCTTAGCGTGGACCAGTATAACAAGTTGTAGCCGGTAACCAGTAAAATGTTCTATTTTAAGAAGATAAGGGTAAAAGGTCGTTTTATTGGGGGAATTTCAAAAGGTCGTTTTACTTTGGGCGGACGGAGCAAAGGTCATAATATTCCTGTCAATTTTTCCTTGCTTACATTTTTGTGTGAGGATCAACAAAGTTTTTGAAATCAATCAAATTTAAAATAAAAAATGAACTTAATTTGTATTCAACTCACCCAACAACCCGATTGATTATTGATACCAAATTCACTCACATCAAGCTTCTCGTTGCGAGATCACTTTCTAGAACTAACAATGGAGTAGAAGGAAGTGTGGATTTTTGAATTCCACATGTTATGTGGATATAAATAAGACAAATCTATGGGATAAGAACTTGACGTTGACCCTTGGCTACTTGCTACAACAAACTAACGCACGTTAAATCGCTTCCTACCTACTGAGCAGGTGACTAAGTACCAGCATTCATAACACCCTTATGTGGACGTTTGTTGTTCACTTTATTTCCAAAAGAGCCATTTTGATTGACAAGTTAAATTGATCAAGAAGATCAATGGGGGCGCGCTCCACAATACCGCCTCAATTTCTCCGTTTCTCTCTCCTCATTCAACTCTAATTCGCATCAATTTCTTTATCCAGTTCCATTTTCCCCCTAGTTTTCAGCTCATCTTCATGCCCAAATCCCTATTTTTCTTGTCTTTCCACTTCTGATTTTTTCCCCCTTTTTTTTCTGACTTCGTCGCCATAGTTAATGGCTGATTCTCCTCTGTTGTCTTCACCGCTGTTTATGGGTATATATATATATATATATATATATATATATATATATATATATATATATATATGTATGTATGTATGTATGTATGTATAAAATTGTGAAGTTCCATTGAAAGTATTGCCCAAATTTGAGGGGAAGAGATGTCGCCAATTTACCCGGGAATTCTTCTGCTCACGATTCTTCATGGCGCCAATTTGCCCACCTATTTTCCCCATTTCCCCCCCCCCCTTATTTCCTCCTCTTTTTCTTTTCTTCACTTTTGACGTGTCACACACCCAACGGTGTTGTATGTGGACCTACACATACTAGCATTGTATGTGTAGCATTACTCAAAAAAACAAGACCAAGGTTTATTGGGACATGGAGGGAATTTTGGAAAAACGATATATTGTTCAACTACCCTTTTTGCCCAAAACATCTTATCTCTTTTTAGAATGTTAGAGATACCGAAGATTTACTTATATACACAGTCAAAAAATCCAAAACATGAACAGTAATTCGATAAATATGCACATCAATATATAAATAATACATGCCAAAAGACCCATACTATATACACTTGTACATATCTTAACAATGCAAAAGTTTATCAATTGCGATTTGACTACTCCTATTGCTGTACATAAATCTTATCATTAAAATTATCACAAAAAAAAAGATGGTGATGCGACGTGTGGAACAAAAGTCAATAGTGATGAGACACAACATTGCTAGCAAAAAAAAGACCATAAAAAAAAAGAATTAGAAAAAAAAGAAAAATAAAAAATTCATTGAAATACGTGACGACTATTGAACAACACAACACTACTATCATTGCTAGCAAAAAACAAAGACCATAAATAAAACCAAAAAAATAAAAAAATCATTGACATGTAATGACTGACTGAACAAACACACCTACGAAACAAGCTTAAGAGTAAAAAAAAAAAAGCCAAGGGTTGTTGGGACATGGAAGGACTTTTGGGAAAACGATATACTGTTCAACTACCCTTTTGGCCCAAAACATCTTTTCTCTTTTTAGAATGTTAGAGAGATCGAAGATTTAATTATATAGATAGTCACAAAATCCAAAACTTATTCGTTAACTATGCACATAAATAAATAATACATGCCAAAAGACCCATACTCTATAACACTTGTACATATCTTAACAATGCAGAAGTTTGTCAATTGTGATTTGACTACTCCTATAGCTGTACATAAATCTTATCATTGAAATTACACAAAAAAAAAAAAGATGGTGATGTGACGTGTGGAACAAAGTCAATAGTGATAAGACACAACATTGCTAGCAAAAAACAAAGACTTTAAATAAAACAAAAAAAAATTAAGAAAAAAAGGAAAACAAAAAATTCATTTACACACGTGACGACTGATTGAACAACACAACATACCTACCATTGATAGCATAAAACAAATACCATAAATAAAACAAAAAAAATCAAATATTTGACAGGTGATTACTGACTGAATAAACACACCTACCAAACAACCTAAAGAGTAAAAAAAAAAAAAAACGGGAATTTTGGAAAACGATATAATGTTCAACTACCCTTTTTGTCCAAAACATTTTTTCTCTTTTTAGAATGTTAGAGAGATCGAAGATTTACTTATATACACAGTCACAAAATCCAAAACATGAACAGTAATTCGATAACTATGCACAATACATGCCAAAAGACCCATATTCTATAACACTTGTACATATCTTAACATAGCAGAAGTTTATCAATTGAGATTTGACTACTCATATAGCTGTACAGAAATCTTATCATTGAGAATTATCACCCTAAAAAAAATGGTGATGCGACGTGTGAAACAAGGTCGACAGTGATGAGATACAACATTGCTAGCAAAAAAACAAAGCCCATAAATATAAAAAAAAATTGAAAAAAAGGAAAACAAAAAATTAATTGACACACGTGACGACTGATTGGACAACACAACACACTTATCATTTTTAGCAAAAAACAAAGACCATAAATAAAACCAAAGAAAAAAAAAATCATCGACACGTGATGAGTGGTCGAATAAACACACCTACCAAACAACATAAAGAGTAAAAAGAAAAAAAAAAAAAAAAAAAGAGAACAAGGGTTGTTGGGACATGGAGGGAGTTTTAGGAAACGATATACTGTTCAACTATCCTTTTTGCCCAAATCATCTTTTCTCTTTTTAGAATGGTAGAGATGAAAAATTATCTCAAATGTCTTTTATTTTTTTTTTTTTTTAAAATGATTTATTTGGTGCATTTATTAAGCAAGTTTGTCCTTAATTGTTTTTGGGTTGTTTGTATATAAAGAACCATGTTATAATCCAAAAAGTACAATAATCAATCAATACTTAACAAAGGAAGAAAAGTTTACCACAATCTTTTCAATAATATTACCATTAATTCGAAATACTATACAACAACAATAGCTTACAATGAATCAACATACAATGGCCGTCTTTTTTCACTTCCATGAGACACAAGTAAACTGTTACGTGGGCTGCTGCTGATTATCTAGAGGTGAATCTAAATAGAAACTTAATTTTACACGGTCCCTTTTTAGAGTGCAAACTCCTATAATTGCCCTCCCAAAGTTGCTGAAGGGGTGGTAACAAATGCTGCTCTCGGGGAATCTCCGTTGTTGCCATCTCCTTCCAGAATCTAGCTTCAGTATTCTCAAGAAGTTACGACATATTCAAGCTCCAAATATAGCTCAATTAGATAGTCTAGACTCTAGAGCAAGTCACGCCACAAATAAGGATGAATGATGAATTATACACTTCCCAAATGTATGTCACTTTCCTTGCCGAGGATGGATAAGTTCTCAAGGGGTTTAGGGGAATTGACTACAATTGTCACTCATTTTCTTGAAATTGCAATATTGGAAGGCAGCATTCGTACCTCTTCAATAACAAGATTGTAGATGTTTCAGGTTTCAAAGCAGGAGGTCTGGGTCACATAGTCACATGTCAATCCACATTTACCAAAACCCCTTCCAAACCCTACCAGCAAACTGACCCAAGGTACAGAGTTGTACAAGCAACGACAAAATATGAGAATCTGCAGGTGATTGGTTTTACCAGAGTAAGCAGCAACCCAACTTCGTGAAAGAGATTTGCACTACGTCGTCTACAAGTCAACCTTCATGTGGAACTAGTAGGCATCAGAAGCAACCAATTTAGTAATTAACAGATGGTTCTCCTTATACCATGATCACGACAATTCAGAAGACCCAATTTTGTCTTCTGGAATTTTGTCAAAGGACACATTCAAACAACGCGGAGCAGTGATACTAGTCTCAACATCCATGATTGCATTATTAGAAGGCAACAACCCATTGTCACAACCTACAGCTTCAGAAGAATTTTGCACATCAGCACGACCAATTGCCTCAGATGACATTGGGGAGCTTTCACTAGACGCTACTTTGAGAGGGGTGCTTAAGCCATTGCTGCCTTCCCCTTTAGAATGTGGCATGAGGCCATTGTAATTTCCCCCAGAATTAGATGGCACTGGAACACTACTGTTTCTAATTACTTTAGCTTTCCTGCAATGGACAGTTACTTTAGTAAAAGAGTTGGAAGGAGCTACACTGGATGAAAATTAGAAAATCTTTCAACTCATACCTGATCATTTTCCGCTTTTCAGCAGATCCTTTGGGTCTTAACATTTCCTCTAAAGCAAAACAAAATATGTTAATGAATTCCAACGAATAACAAAAAAATATAATAGAAAGCAATTTAAAATTGAAACTAGGCTATGAAAAACACCTGATTTCACAGCTACAGAAGGTGAAGCAGTTTTGCGACTGCCCCTTTCTGCTTTAATGGAAGCAATAACAGCATCAGCTGTGGGACCGAGACCCTTTCTTCCCACCAACTTAATCCCGAGTTTTTCAGAGAAGTAATGCAACCTCATATCATCACCACCTCTGACTTCTCTCAACTCAAGTGCTTGTTGTCTAGTTAGCAATGTGTAAACATGAATTTGTTGCTTATCATTGAAATGTGATTGAAGCTGCTGGAAAAGCAATTTTTTCGAATGCATCGTATCAGCTTTTGAACTATCTTGGCTCTTCTTTCGAGGTTCAGTGAAAGTAACCCTTAGAATAACACTTGACTTGGGGTCAGCATTATCCTTCTCAAAAATAACAGAAAAGCTCCCGAATTCTAGATCAGGTTCTCTAAAAATATCGGCAAGAAGTGAAGCACATGTATGAGCATTTTTGGAGGGACACCTCTCAATTTTAAATTTCAAAGATCGTGAACTAGCATAATGTGCCATGTTGGCAGCTTCTCGAAGACCACTGAGAAAGGCTCCATGCATGGTTGCAGGATATCTTCTTGTTGTTGCCTCCCCGGCAAAAAATAGTCTACCATCTCCCACAGTTTCTGCTAGTATATCATAGTCATCTCCCGATGCACCTACGGCTACATTAGAATAAGAACCCAGACAGAAGGGGTCACTGCCCCATCTAGTACAGACTGTTTGGATAGGTTTTGGGACGGTGATTCCTTGTGGTTCATAGATTCCTATATGGATATTTAGAAAAAAGGACTATCAATCAGTGATGAAATGCAAATCTGAGTACACTGCGAAAATCAATCATCATGCAACCACAGCACAAGAATCCACTACCTAATGAAGACACAACGATGAAGGCCAAGGAAACAATCAAGCACACATTGATATAGCTCCTGTTTCCCAAGTCTACCAAGTTAATTTTAAATGACACAATTTCTTCAATTTCAACCACAAAAAAAATCGAGCAGTATCAATCCATTAGCATGGTGTAGCCATTATGCCAATAGCTGTTACAACATGTTCTATTTCTTTGTTAAGAAATGGTAATCATTACTAATAAAATTCGATTAACAATTTAACAGCACATGACCTGCTGTATTGCTGTGGGGTTCTCAGTCACACACTCGTACTCCTGCATTTTTATTCTTCACATTTCAAATTTTTAGACCTAACAGTACAAAATCTAGTTGTTTTTTCAGGAGCCTATTCCATTTCTTGTAATACGAGCTCCTTTGAGTTCAAGCGATTATCCATTTGTGTCATCAACTGATTTGACTAGTTGATTGTATCATCTGTTTGTCTATAAGTGTGTGGTATATAGTTGATAGCTACTATGATTATTTGAAATAACCAATAGAGATATCGATACAATTTATTGTTGGCATTGGAATTTTGATAGCAAATACAAAATATATCATTTTATAATATGGCGAGTTCAACATAAATATAGGTATATGAAGTACATTTTACTAATAATGAATAATTGAAACAAATTCCACTGTAGCATTGAAAGAGAAAGACCATTGAAATTTTGTAGATATGACCATTAAATTTAATTTTGAAATTATAATCCATATTCAATTGTCTAACAAATCTAACTCTCCAAGAATTGCTTTACATGCATGAAGACTCCAACAACCAACTAGGATTACATACTATAAGGACCAATCAAGCATATCTATTAGATCTAAACAAAATATTTTTAGTTTTTTACAGGGTCTACTCGCCAAAATATTTTATTAGAAATATTAATCAAGGTTAAATTTTCATGCTTCACTCTCATTTGGTTGAATTTATTAAAATTTCAACATACATTATATATAATGTATGTTCAGTAGAAGGATGGAGAAGCTAAAAAGCAAAGAATGGAAGCTAATGGACAAGTGTGTAGTTTTAAATGAGATTCCAAACTGCTAATTACAGACCACTGCTATATGAGCAATTTGAGAAGCAGCAGTTTGATACCAATCTGTTTTCCTAATCTGTTCATCAACAAACAATAGGATTATCTGGTTTGACCACTCAATCCGCTAAAGTAGGTCCAAAAGGCTAATTTGAAGGCAACACACTGTTTACCAAACAGGCCTTAAGTCTTTTTTCGAAAATTATAACAATTAGCAACAGCTGTTTCACAGGACAAAAAATTATATTTTTGGACAAGCAGAAAGAAAAGTGAGGGATTTTGTTCATAAACAAGAAATACAGAATATAACTGATATCAGATACAGTAATGTGGAAGCCGATGATTATGAACGCACACCAAGCGAGAGCTTGAAGCAGAACCGCTTGCTTCAAGTCATGAATAATGTGGTAAGAAACTGAGAAGGATTTCATACCCCTAAGAATTTGAAGAACATGCGTCACAGCATCGGTAGGAGGCATTGACTCAAACTTGTGTGCAGCTTCTCCAGCAACTAAAGCTATTAAAAGAGGTCCACCAGCAACAGTTGCATAGCTGTAGAAAAGAAAAAATTCTCCTCGGTGAAGAGGATCGTCAGATAGATGACCAAATGTATCAAGATCTGTGCCCCAAAAGACATGGGGGAAGAGCATGGCAACTTTGTTTAAACACCCAAAACCCAACCTCTTTATTCCGTCAAGTTTCCTCTGAGGTAGCTCAGGTACGAACTTAATGGAGCCAGATTTCAACACCCCTAATGGGACGGTGCACAAAACCATTTCACCTTCAAAAACTTGGTTTCCAGCAGTGACCTGAACACCATCACTACCATAGCGAATCGAAGTAACTGTTTTTTCATACATGATTGGTACATTTTCTGTCAAAGCATGCACCAATCTTCCATTTCCTCCAGACAAAAAACAATGATCCCCACCCATGTCATAAGGGTCATCTTGGTCCCAAAATGCTAGAGAAAGCTTCGAAAGCAAACCAGCATTTGCATATTCTAAATTAGCAAAGTGCCAATTAAACAAGTTCTTCTCCTCATCGGAAACTGATTCCCCACACAGTTGACTAAAGGTATCCAATGCAGCCCCTAAAGAAACATCCTGTGAAACCTCCCCCATCAACTGCCGCAGGCGGCTTGCTTTATCTAGAAGCTTATTAAAAGCATTCTCCACCTTAGAATCCAAAATAGGGTCAACTGGTGATCCATCAACACGATATATAGGGCACTTATCCCTTATCTTATGAAGGGAATACGCCAATTGCCGGGCCAAAATCCCAAGTGGATTGCCAAGGGTACCTGTCAAAACACTCCCCCCTAAATCTGCAGCAGCAACCTTATTTGATCCCTCCATCTTCTTTGTATAAACCCTACCTCCAGCACGCTTCCTTCCCTCCAAAACAGTCACCTTAAACCCAAAACGCATCAACTGCCGGGCAGCTGCCAATCCAGCCAACCCCGCCCCAATAACAATAACACTCCCCTTACTAGGCTCAATCGGAAACCTTTCCTTAATCGCCGGTGCAACCCCGAAATTAACATACCCATGAGACACCAAGAAATCATACGCAGTATCTAAAAGCCAATGACAATGCTTCGGAATAACATTAAGAAACATCTCCTTCGAAACCCAATTCGACACATTCTCCCTCCATTTCGTAATTATATGATTCCTAATCAAAATATAATTAACCTGTTCAATCCCCCCAACTACTGGCAACACACCAGCATCAATTTCCTCATCAGTAACAGAATCAGCAGGAAAACCGGCCGTAAGCGCGGTCAGCGCCTCGGCCGTAGCTTCCCGATTAATCACAATAATATCCTCAGACAAATCTACTGAACTAGGGTTCAATTGCAAATTGGGTTTCGAAAATTGGGCATTAACAGAGCTACCATTACTAACACCAACAGAATTACCATAAATTTGAGGAATCGAAAATACCTGCTTGTAAGAAGGAAGCGTACTCCGAGGCCTCCCACGACGTCGTTTTCGAGGGATAGTGAGAGTGAGAAGATTGCTGGACGTACTGGGCTCAGAATAGCTGACATTGAAGCTCGAACACGATTGAGAAATTAAATTCGAATGTTCAATTGGATTATTATTGTCACTGTTAGGGTTTAAATCATCGGAATTAGGTTTAGGGTTAGGGTTGACAAAACGGTCGAATTCGAGGAGGTTATCGTTGAGTGAAGAGAAGGAAGAGTGGTTATTGTCGGGCATTTTGGAAGTGATAATGAGGAAGGAAGTGTTGGAATTTCTTGGAGTTACTCAAGAAAGACAACAATGGCGGAGGAGAGAGAAAAAGATGGTTAAAGGAGATGATCCTTTTGGTATTTTGGCGCGCCACTTGCTGCAACTTTTCTGGATTTACATGGTAAAAATGTGGGAATTTTGCAAATTGCACCCATTTAAAGTTCGTATTTTGCATATTGTAGTCATTTAAATTATTTTTTTTGTAAATTGCAGCCCAAAAGTTCGTATAAATTGTAAATTGCAACCCGATTCAATTTTTTTATCGATTTTATGTTGAAAACTTCAGTTATGGTTTTAGGGGTCATTTTAGCTCTTAAGAGTTCGAATTGAGCTCGGAATTAGCAAAAAATTAACGTAAGTGTCTCATATTTACAGTTTACCACAAATCGATACATTTTAGTTACGCAAAATGAGATACTTGCGTTATTTTTTTGCTAATTCCGAGCTCAATTCGGAACCCTAAGCACTAAAATGGCCCCTAAAACTTTAATCGAAGATTTTTCAACTTGTAAACCGATGAAAAAGTTGAATTAGGCTACAATTTACAAATTACAATTTATATGAACTTTTGGGCTGCAATTTGCAAAATACAAACTTTAAATGGCTGCAATTTGCAAATTTTCAAAGAAATTTAGGTTCACTTTTGAGAGTTTCTACCATTGAGCACTGACAAAAATAATCATAGATGATTAATTGAGGGTGTTAGGGCCATTTCATATTCACTGAACTGAGATGAATTAAACTAAACTGAAATGAATTGAACTAAATTGATTAGAGTTTAATTGAATAGAGCTTAACGGATATTTTACGAGAGAAGGCAATTAGTAACTTATTGGAGCTGAACTGAAATTAAGCTAAAAAAAAGACCCTTATTACGTCTTGTTTATTTCACCTTAAAAGCTTAATATACCTAATACTTGATTCGAAAAAAAACTAATATAAAGTTATTATGGTGATAAAGAGCAAAATAGGGGTAATGAATTAAGTGTTCGAGGGTTTAATAAAAACAAATATTAAGTGTTCGAAATAAAATTTCATAAACAAAGGGCTTAGTTACCAGGGGTTTGATAACCAAAGACAAACGACAATAATCTAAATTTAGTTTATTTTATGGTGTTTGGCATAGTTTTTTGTCTGGCTTTTAGCTTTTGACTTTTTAATTTGATCAAATCACCAAAAAATATTTTTGGTTATTGCCTTTTTTTGTTGGGTTTTAAACTGGTTTATCAGCCAAAAACAAAAAGCTAATAAAACACTTATAAAGTCAATCCGTATAGCTAATATTTTTAGTTGGTCAAACAAGCCAAGCAAATTAACCAACTACGGATTGTCAAACAAATCCCTTTATCACTTTGTCATGAATACAATGAGTTAGTCAATGCAACTATTGACAAATGAAATACTTATGTAGTATTCCACTTCATTTCCTTTTTATTTAAAAGCATGCGAGGTTCATTTTTTTGTCTTTTGTGGTGCACAAGAGATGTAAAATTTTTAAGTTGTGCGAATAAACTAAAAATTGAATAAGACAAGTGTAAGACCCCTTTTGGGCCATGCGCGGCATGGTGTGCCTAGGCAAAGGCACACTGAGGCTTGGCTATGGTGCTAGGCCTTGTACATATTATTGTAAGACTCTATGGTGTGGTTAATAAGTAAATAAGGGCATATGGTTGCCTCTATATGTTAGCTTGGTAAGCTAAGGTTGTTTGGATGGGCATTGGACCCAAGGGTTGGGGCCAATAGTCCATTATTGTGTTACTGTCACTAGCGTGTTCACTAGTATTATAAGCGCAGTGCAATATAAAGCTCTTTAGGGGAAGGGTGTCAGTCATGGCTTGGTGCAGCCATGGACGCATCATTGGCTAGGGCCATGGTGCATGGTTCTAAGGATGGTATGGGCTATCTAGGACTTGGACACAAGGTTGGCTTGATACTAGTGGGCTAAGTGACTTAGGTGTGAGCAAAGGCTCGTGGCGAGCCTTTGTCGGTGGATGCTTGGCGTTGGCTGCAAAGCGACGCGTCGGTTGGGGAACCGGCGTCATTACGGAGCGTAGCAAGCCAACGACATGGCACAGCGAAGCGGTGCGTCGCTTGGGCCATGGTGCGGTTTGGCGAAGCAACGCAATGCTTGGCTACTGATGCGTTGTTGCGAAGCAGCACGTCCCTTGGTCCCTAGCACGGTGCTGACAAGGAAGCACGTGGGTGCGGTGCTTGATGGCAGTTGGCACGGGTGTTGGGAGTTAATCCTTATGTGAAGAGATGCGATGGAAATGCGAAGCAAGGCGTTGGTTGGAGCAAGGAGCAGTTATGCGAACGGTTGCCTTATGTGGATAAGGATTGGATGCTCAGCCAAGGCGAAGTGACACTTCACATTATGGATTGTGGGCAAAGGCATTCTGGATGAAGCGAAGAGACACGAGTGATGATGGTGGCGATCCGCAACGATTGGCTAGGATTGCGGTGGCAATCCGCGACGGTTGGCTAGGAAGGCTATATGCGATGCTTTGTTAGGATTGTTGACTTGTAATAGTTTACGGTTAATTGCATGAGTGCCACTTGGCGCTCATGCGTGCTTAGTGTATGTTCGCATTGGAGGGGGTTGTCCTCCTTTGCCTATAAATAGATGACTTTGGGGTTTGTCCAAGGCATCCAGAAACCACCGTGTAAATATGTTGTTAATGATATTAATAAAAGTATGCTTTGTGATATATTCTAAGTGTTCTATCGTGTTGTTTACGCTGTGCATTCTTATATAAGTTAGCGAGTGAGTTGGTTGGTTAGTGAATATAGCGCCATCATAGTTAGTGAAAAATTAACTGTGACAACAAGCTAATATGCACATTCCTTAAAAAAAAAACAAAAAAAAAAAAAAAAAAAAAAAAAAAAAAAACTAATGTGCGCATCCATTTTATTATATGATGCAATCTTAGTAGATGGAGGGTCCAATTTTGTTCTTGGTATGTCTAGTCCTCTAGTGTATAGAATCTTAGAAGTCGTGGTTTGCAGTTATGGCTTATGCACTAGAATTTGCCCCGGATTGTTTGGCAAGGAAGATCAAGACGTTTATAATCAGTATGCTAATAAGATCAAAAGAACGAAGATAGTTAGCCCCGGATTGTTTGGCTAGGAAGCTCAAGACGTTTATAATCAGTAGGCTAATAAGATCAGGGGAACGAAGACAGTTTCAAATTTCTAGAGTACATTCAACATAACACAATTGTTCTGGTCAAGGATGAAAGAAAACTGTCTGGAAACGTGAGAGGAGCTTTGCATTACCTTGTTCAAGCATCTAAGCAGCTCATTTGCTTGCATAATTGTGTTTTCAGGTGGGATATCAATACAAAAAGTTACAAGTTGTAGCATTATCGTGAACGCGCTTCACGCGCCTCACACTTTTTCACCAAAACCAACAAACGCAAACCGACCCCTGTTTTCTCCATCCAGCAGCCTCCCCCCCGGATCGCCGGCGGTCGGAGAGGTTGGGCTTGCTCCTCAATCGCCGGCGAACCCCCCTCTTCCCTTCACGCTCGCCAAGACATCATCGGAGCTGTTAATTAACCAACGCCCCTAGCCTTCCCTTGTTCTCTCGGGTGGAGTCCCGACCGCGGTTGCCGGGAACACTGCCGGCGGTGACTACGTGGTGCCTGGTCCCTAGCGGCAGCCACCTGATTTCTGGTCTTGGAACCCCCTCCGTCGGTACTTAATTATGATTTCCTCGTTTTTAACGTTTTCTTCCTAGTTTCTTTATTTCAATAAGTTAACTATGGATTGCAAGCCTTTAATAGATGCTCTTATGGTCATGCATTTGAATGATGACTATGATGATACTATTGTTAATTTCGCTCTTAATAATTGTTCCCGTAATATCTATAGTCAAGCTCAATGGTTAAAGGATGAGGGTAATGTACATTTTAAGAATGGTGAGGTTGTCTCTGCCGGTGCAAAGTACGATAGAGGCCTAAAATTTCTTTGCTTTGGTTTACCGAGTAATATGGATGATAGTGTCATGCTCTGGAATCTAGCAATTGTCTTGGAATTGAATCTTGCAGCTTGTGCCCTTAAGGTCCATGATTATAATCAAACAAAGGAGCTTTGCTCCTTAGTCTTAAAGTTTGATGGTAGCAATGTTAAAGCTCTTTATAGAAGGGCCTTAGCAGAGATTAGACTTTACCAATTGGAAGAGGCGTATGAAGATCTTGGCAAGGCAGCCAAGATAGAGCCAAATAATAAGGATATTCTTCGCGAGCTGGAAAGGTTGACCGGACTACGTGGTCAAGCTAGCAAACCCAATGGTAAGAGGGTGCCGAGAATTCTGTCCTCACTGACTGTACTCACACAAAAAAGGGAAAGGCCATTGAACCCCATGTTAGCCTTGTGTGCAACCCGTCATCGCATAGTGAGGATCAAAGTGGTGTTACTACCTGCCTTCCAACCACAAATCAGGCTAGTAAAATGGAAGTAGAAAGCACCATACTGTAGACACCTAAAAATGTCTCCCCAAAACCAAACCCGATGATGAACAACCTTTCACCGCCACTATTGGTCGGGTTTAGTATTTAATCCCGAGAGTGCTTAAAAAATCGTATTTTATTAAATTCATATTTTTGAACAGTCCATGGATTAGTCTTGATGTTTGGTAAAAGCATAGTTTTAATTTCAGCCCAAACTTATTAATTAATTTTTAGCCCAAGCCTTTTTTATTTTATTGTTTTTTTATTTATTTTTGGCCCAAACCCTTTATTTATTTTAATTTAATTATTTTCTTATTTTAGCCCGAATAATAAAAAGTCAGAAAAGGCCCGAAATTATCAATCGGCACTTAAAATGCCGAAGGAAATTAGGGTTAAAAATGTATTTAGATGGAAAAACAGGCTGGAATTTCCCGCACCACGGCAGGTACCTACCGTGTCACGGGAATCCTTCCCGTCTGACAGTGGGATTTCCCGTGACACGGAAGGTCTGCCGTGACACGGGACATTCCGTGTCTTTTCCGCGTAAACCCTTAACGCGTTTTTTATCCCGTTTTGTGAAAAATTCCCGCGTCACACCAAAAATGTACCGTGTCACGGGAAAGTGTATCGTCTGACGGTGGAGCTTCCCGTGTCACGGTACAGTTTGACCGTGTCACGGGATACTTTTTTAGGGTTTTTATCATTTTAGGGTTCCGTGTGCTCCCTCAGCACATTTTCCCTATAAATACCCCCTCATTTCTGATGAACGGGGCACCGAGTAATTCTCTAATTTTATTCTCCTCTCTTCTACGCTTTAGCCTAAACACTAGCCTACCCCTTTTTATTTCAAAATTCCTTCTTCAAGTACTCAAAGGAGTCCATACTTTACTCGTGGTTCTATCCTTAAGCCAAGGCGTGAAAGGTAGAATTGTTTGAGGGTTTGGCCCCAAAATCAACTATACTTTATTTAATTTAATTTAATTATTGTTTATTTGTTTCCTTGAAGTTACTAACTCGTTTATTATTTTGTAGTTGCAAACAAACAGAATCAAAGTAAGGATCATGCTCCTTTTATTTTTATTATTTTTCTAACGATTTTATGTTGTTGGAATTGTGATTAATTTGGTTTTGATATTAATGTTGTTCTACTATTTTTATTACGATCATCATATTGCATGTTTAAAGGGAATATGTAATTGAAAATCACGCCTAATAAGATAATTTGGACAACAGGTTTAGGGTCCTTTTAATCTTACTATTAATTGAAGTGATCACCAATATAATAGAATTATGTGTGCATTAATATTAAACCAATTTAGTGAAATAATAGTTTGGAGCGAATTGAATTATTGTTTGTATGCCTTTGAGATCACAAGAATGCTTTTCACTATAAGAATCGAGTAGAGGCCAATACGGGCGAATGTGACTCCATGACTCACTTCGTACCATCATCCCTGATCCTCCTTTCGTGGTTCCGAACCATATGGAGTTAGTAATCTCATGGATTATGAATGGGGTGTAACCTTCACGGGTCAATCGTTGTTGCCTATCGTTGTCCCTTATCGTGGTTGCCTTTTATGATCCGTGAACGGTTTACAAGTTCCTTAAAAACTTGTTGGCGGCTCCCTACTTTCCTTGTCCCTAATCGTATACGTCAATTCCCACTTCCTATGAGTGCCAAGCATATTCACCACATGCTTTAACGTAGGCGCACTTCGAACGACGCCTACACATACCAACCCACAACTCTTATGCCCCTTTGGAAGATAAGGATGAAATCTCTTCCCTCCCTACAATGAATCAAGAAGCAAGGCACTCAAATGGAAAGGATCGTGAGAATTTTCACTACTTCTCCAATAGAATGAAAAGAAACCAATCCCTTAAACTAACCACCTTGTCTTACTCGCAACTCAAACAAGGGAAGACTTTAAATTTCTTGAACAAATCTGTTGACTCATGGATGACTGTACAAATGAAGGACAAGACTACTCGAGAGAGGCATCTTAAAAATCACAAGCCTACTGACTCACAAGGTCCTTATGCTTCGTGGATGCCTTGTAGTTTGGTGTGTTCGAGTGGGAGGAGCAACGACAAAAAACACCATAAGGAAAAGGTCATGCCTCCCCCTAACACAAGAGTGGTCAAATATGATATTAGGCCTGGAAATCCCAGCGCTAATCGAAACACGGACTTAAGTACAAAGAATGGGAGTGATGTGCCAGCGGAAGATGTTAACCACACTAACCTTGTGGAAGTGGAATCCGTAGGCTCAAATGAAGATGACCCCATGGCTTTTGAATCCGATGTAGTACTAGTTATCCCCACACTCACTCACTCTTTCTTCGAGTTCTCCGCCACGAAAAGGAAATATGGAAGGCCTCACAAGTCAAGAATGAAGAATAGGAAAGGTAATTTCTTTTTCAGGGGTTGGCATCACAGGTCCAAGAAGCGCAAAGGAGCCAGCCTTGAGCATATGAAGATTATGATCTACGATAGAGCTTGGGAACCCTCACATTTGCATTGTTTAGCATGTTTTAAAGATTGTACCCCCATTCCCCGTTTACATCCTTGTATTAGTTCTGTTAAAAGAGTTAAACTTTCTCCTAGTCCTTGTCCTTACGCCTTTGGAAGTCCCGAGGCTGTTGGGAGCTAGTCTCCTTTTACTCCGCTGTCAAAAAAAAAAAAAAAAAGGTGGGATATCAGTACAAACTATAAATTAAAACTTCAAATACCTTACAATTACGCGTCAACTGAACTTTGGTTGATTTCTCATTAATTAAATGAGCTGCAATATTGACGACTCAACACCCTTTCGGATTTGAAAGTTTTTCTCACATAGAGCTTTGCTTACATAAATCATTGGATGTATCCGTGATATTTGTAAGTTAGTTCGTTCACATGTATTTTTGCTTATTTTGCTACTTCGTTCAAGTTCAGTAACTCTTTCTCGGCATTTTACAGCAATGCAATGTTAGTATGAATCCAATTCTCTCTGCAGGTTCCACTGTTTCAGAAGCTCGGATTTCATCAGCCAAATACATAATCACTCATGCAGCTTCTGCTTCTGAGAATTCCAACATTTATTTACCTCCTATATGATCTATGGTTTCAGCACTGTAATTCTAACTGGCAACTCGAGTACATTCTTATCCATCTTTGAAGTTTCCAACTTGATCAATTTCCACCAGGATCCACATGTGAATTGCTACCTATAGATGCATGCCGGTGTTATCAAACTTGCATTGCAGTAGACAAATAAACTGAGCCGACAAGGAAGTTTACCTGCAAATATTCCACAAATAAAGCACTGTGGTTAACAAGAGTCTGGTAGATAAGGTCTCTATAAAGAATGATGCTGAGATCACTAAAACTTTCACAATGAAACCCAAAATAATGCATTGGTTGCAAAATTTTTGTCAAACTTTTCATTGATAAATGATTATTCTAAACCAAAAGAGAGAGAACACAAAACAGAATTTATAAGTGTCCAACAGTCATTTTAATGTAAAAATGAAACAAACAATAAATCCAATAATTACAAGGTTTGGTATGCAAATTCTTTCATAATACTCATGACCGATAACAAATTAATGTTCCATTTATGTGAACAAATAGTTAGACCCATTGTTCGCCGAAGTTGTCAAGAAAGCACCACCAGAAAGCACACTTGGTTATAGTATACCATCTATATACAAAACTACCAACCTGGAATTATGGAAGATTTCTACGTTGTTGTGTAATCCAAGCATCATAGTCTTGTAACAATTGCTGCAAGAGAAGAGGAACAAACCTGTCCAAGAGTGCTTGCAAAACTCTGCATGTGAAGAACACTGAATAAGCATCCACAAAAAAGTTCAAAAACAAGGTAGATGTAAAGCTTTTCTTGATGATGAAAGTAATAATAGTATTACTACTAATAATAACTACTTTGTTCTAATTATCCACATGTAAAATTTACAAAAATATGATTTTTTTTTTTTTTTTTTTTTTTTTTTTTTTTTTTTTTGACAGGATACAAAAATATGATATTATGAAAGTATAAATCAAAACGTTTCTAATAATATCCCCTCTCAAATATAAATTATCAAAGCTAGTCACACTGACGTATGTGAATACTGTATAAGTCAAAATATTGCAACTATAAAAAAAAAATGGAGGAAGTATGAACACATTATTCCCCTCTCCCAAAAGAAAAAAAAAAGTCCACTTAAAAGTTAAACCATATATAGCCGATACCCATGGATTAAGGCTTTGGAATTGTTGTTTATAAACAGTCTAGGAAGCCTATATCCACTCAAAGCAAGTCAAACACAAATCAAGCTGAAAGATAAAAAGGATGCCGTGAAAAGACCTTTTTGTCCACTAATCTACTTGTTACATGTAATACCATGCATTCGGCTCATGTTGCACACTATATAGAATATAACTGCTAAAGGAGAAGCTATATCACAAAATGGAAGTGTATAAAATGAAAAGATTAATTTGCTCACAAATTTCCAGGGCGTTCAATAGTAGATACAGGCAACAGGGTAAAGGGCCTATTGTAAATCTGCATGCAAAAATATATAGCCTGATCAGCCACTGCCAAAGAGTAAAAGATGGGATAAATCACTATCGCAGAACTTGATGGGAAGTCATAAAGTTCATTGAACGAAAGTCGTTCAAACAAAAATAAATTTAAAAAACAGAATCATGAATAAGTAATTTTACAAAAAAAATGACAATGCAAATTGATACTAAGAAAAAAAATCCAAATTAAAATCAAACAAATAGCAACTTTGTATGATGGTCTATGATAACATTAGCAATTTAGCATCATAAGATTTGTTTGGGTTGACACTTGAGATTGATAGACAAGTGAGCGAGAAGCCAGGAAGGCAGCTCTTAAATCAACACAGTAGGTGAATTGGATAATGAGCTATTGATCAGTGTTCATCTAAGACATGAATGTCATGATAACAATGAGTAGTAGATAAAATAAAGTATTTTCATACAGTTTAATTTGAAAGAATTTTCGTACATAGTTACATACTATGGTGCTAAAACAAATGGATTGGTATTGGTTTCATGTTCAGTATTTACTTGGGGTTTGGGTCAACGATAAACCAAGAAAAAGAGGGTACTTGGAAGGACAAATAGGAGTATAGTACCTAAAATTAGAGGGGCTCAACAAGTCAACAGAAACTATTATTATAGATTTATAGTTGAAATCACACAACTATAGATTAAATTGGCTTTCTTTTAATGACTGGTCTTGCTTCTCATACGCATGAGTCATGATCAAATTGGTTGCTAATGCATTAACAAAAATGAATAATTTTCACACACATTCCTACTCCCAGGAGTCCTATACCATACATCATATTATTGTAGATGCAAAGAGTTTATTTTCAGGAAGAGCATCTACACAACAGAAAAGTTCATTTTTAAGCAGAATCATACTAAAACAAGGTTCAATCTTCCTGTCAAAAAAAAAAAAAAAGGTTCAATCTTGAGCATTCTCATAGCATTTATTGAGCTCTTTGACAAAAGAATGTCCCTAACCACCAAGTACATGACCATCAAAGTGTAGCACTCGAAAGATACAACAACACTTTCTAATCATAAAGCTATTGATGAATATACATCAGATCAAGACCTCCAGAAGCTAGAAAATAACCTTCCCAGTTGAAATTTCTTAACAGAAATGTCATAGGAATATTTTTCATTAAATGTATTGAAAGGAAAGGATTAAGACCTCAAGAGTGATATTCAACTTCACATCAACCTCGAGAAATGATTCTGAACCAGTTATGTTCCAACTAATGAAATTTTTCATGGTTGCTGCAATCAAAAGCAGACATTAGAGATAGCAGATCAGTCAATTGAAATCCAGGATGCTAACAATTTTTGCATCTACAATCTTGACATTCTAGAGGGAGATTGTAGTTGCAGTAAGCAACGAAAACAATATCTATTCCAGAAAAATAATATAAATATATAAAAACAAAATTTAAGGAAAAAACTCACAGGTAAAACCAGCAGATATTAATCCACCTTTGCGCGTGTGTGCATGTGTGTAGCAAGTCATAATTCTAATATTTTACTTCCAGATACATATGTTTAGTTCAGTAAGGGATATCCTCTGAAAGTCTGAAGGGTACAGCAGCAAATGTTAATAGATACATTTAGCACAGTGAATAGATTTGGATTCAAGCCAACCTGAGAAATATTGGTTCTGGTTCTCCACTATTTCTGAGCCCTCAAACTGCAATGCACAAAAATGAAATAAGTGGCTTTTACATAGATAAGTTTTCTCTTTGCTCATGAACAGGCATAAAGCAAGAATTGAGTACTCTAACTGAATGTAGAAGTTGGCAATTGAGCTTCCTTTACAAAATATGGCAGGCAAATTGAGAATGAAGCCTAAAGTGTCATGGAATTCATCATAGCCTAGCCATATTTACACAATTATTTCCTATTCTCCTCTTTAATATGTGTTCCTTCACAGCCACCTTTATTGTTCAGTTACACCAAATCTGCAACTCCTATGCTCTTCCCGTTCATTGGACATCAGTCAAAAGAACAAGGAAATACCATTATCGTTGTTATTGTGGTTGATTTCGCTCTTGGAGAGGTCATTTATTCTATTGATGAGAGAAGAAAGACCTTCTAAAGAGAAAGACAAGAAAGAGGAATAACCTCAAGGATGTTCTAAGAAAATAAAATAAAGCAAAGCACCTTTATAATTTAGTAGAAGCAAGCATAAGCAGAAAAAGGAACATGGAAAATGGAATATTGATCATGCTAGATTTCAGTTTTATCGGGATAAAACCAAGAAAAATTCAAGTAGAAAAGCATGACACTACAGTATACCGAAACAAACACAATGCAGAAAGCACCTAAATAGAGAATCTTCCTTTCCATCCAAAGCCCCAGTACATTTACACTCATACAATTCAAGTGCTTCAGTATATCTTTTCTCTTATTCACAAATAACTATAGGCACAGGAACGCAGCACAAATAACAATTTACTTCTTCATGTCCAAACCAACATTCTTTTTCATCTACTTTTTAGCCACTAGTTTGCAAGCGGCAAACAATTGTGTCCCTCCCTCCCCAGTCCCCCACCCCCGGAAAAAAATAATAATAAATGAACCTTACGCAATTAGCTCAAGATTTCAACTAACCTTACAAGACAGCAGCTCAACAATGCAACATTCACTGGCTGGAGTCACTTCCAAGTCCAGGACAGGGGCCACCTCAAAGTTCAGAAGTTGGATTGGTGGAAGCTTGCATCTACAAAGATAATACATAGGAATGTCATGTCCACAAATTTCCAGCATAAGGACATTAATGAAGGCATCAAAATTCCAGCAATCTTTTTGAATGATACGGTGGGTGGTTGCAATGAAACTTTTTCTGTTTTCATGGTCAAAATGTGGATGGTTTCTGTAAGAATCAAATTGATTGGGATCAGAAATTCAGAAGTAATTTGAATCAACCCAAGGATAAGGCCCAAAGCCTCCCCCTGTTAATTACAATGCCATGGTTCTTTTGTTATAATTAGTGCTTTAAGCCGGTCTGCTAAGATAAACCCACTAACTCACCAAAGACTTTTCAGAGTTTAGAATGAACAAAATTCTAACTACCATACCAGTACACCACTAACTGTCTCATAGTTCAAAACAGGCCCAATCTTAGTGATTGTTCCATTTGGCCTCCACAAACCCTGCTAAAATTGGTTGTCAATGTACAGTTGCAAACCATAATCAGTCACTTTAATCCAGGTCCGAAAACTCCAAATGTGCTTGATGTAACATCTCTTCGTTAGAATAGGGCTGTTACTCTGTTAGGAAGAGTTAAGTGAGATGGTCGATTTCTTTCTTTATTCTTCTAATCCTACGTTTGAAATTGTTTTCATGGTACTAGGCAAGAACGGAAAGTAGTGCACCATTTCTTAACATTTTTCAATAATTTATCATCAAGTGGAGGGAAGCAGGGTATAGGAGGGAATAGTGATCCCTTTAGTCCTTTACATTATCAATAGATCAGAATGTGCATGATAAATTTCTTTCCTCTCCACTCCGAAATACTGAATCAAAGAGCTCAAGGAACTCTGATCATGTCCCCTCCTACCAAGCTATCACAAATAAGTGGCACAATGATCGAACAAACTGGCTAATGACATCAAATAAAATTTATAAATTCCCCAATTTAAGAAGATAGTCTAAAAAAAGTCATATTAAGCAGTTACATGGTGAAAAGCACGGCAGCATGATTACAATTTCCAAATAGACAAGAACGGTGTTTTTGATATATGTATACTGACAGTCCAAGATGATTAGTTTATCGAACAAACTTCACAACATGATACCTAAGAAATCATAATTTTGAGAAACATAATACTTGTAATAATAATCCCCAAGAATGATAGGTTCACCAAGAAAATGCAATGATAAAATAAACATGATTGAAGAAGAAAAGAACCAAGAAACAAACAGTACCTATATGTGTTGGTATCAATCAGAACATAACTTTCAAGAGCATTTACATTCAGCATTGCTTCAACTCCAGTTGGGTGCTTCAAAAATTGACTAATGTGGTACATTTCGCCAACACAAGCATTCTTGTAAGAAGGCAACTTGATTCTTTCCTTCTTTTTGGCTCCTAAAAGAGCCCTTTTTACTTTTGAATTGGTAGAATCGTCTTTAATAACTTGGATGACATCAACCACCTTCCTGAAAAACAAGATTGTCAAACTCAATAACATATGTCTGCATAAATTATGATCATCATAAGTAATGAATATAAACACAAAGGACTAGACATCAAAACTGTGAAGTAATCTTAAATGCAACAAATATAAGGTCATCAAAGCTCAGAAGTAGATATTTTCACCCATGAATTCAAAGGATAATAACATCCATTACATATTCATAATCTTATTAAACTATGCAGCACAGAAATAGAAACGTTTCGGAAGAGAAAGCCTCAAGTCAAAGCCAAATCCAGACTTCATTAGCATGGAAACAATTGGGGTTTCGAAACGAGGAAAATCCCAAATCCCAGAATTTTCGTGCTTTGAAGGTCATAACCAATTGATGAGAATAAATCTCACAAGGTTTCACCAATTATATTGTCATTCCAAATACTTTGTAAAAAATATTTACCATGATAAATCCATAAATCACAAATAATACATCAAATACAATTTTCCTTCTCAAACAATTAGAAATTAAAGCTAAAATACAATCAATTAACAGAATTGTTGAATGGCTGATAAAGTAAAGTACTCACAACTGAAAATATAGGACAATAAAAGTACACTTATCCATTACATTTACACAGCAGCTCCCTGCTACAAGTACCCACTATTCTACCTATATGTGAATCCGTCCGAATTCAATTGTCACATTACTAATTTACATTAAACTATGAACATAACTATTAATTTCAACATTTGGAATTTAAACTCTCAGTGTATTCGATTATAGCTAGAAAAATTTAAAATAACAACTTTTACATAAACTTAATATAAACGGATAAATCATGCAAATAGTAGTTAAAATAAGAGGAAATTAACATGTAATTCCCATTAATATGAAAAGGGGCCATTTATTTGAAATTAAAATTGCAGAAAAATAACCTGGTAGCAGGGAAATTATAGAGATTGGTAGGTAATTTGAAAATTTCATGGCTTCCACAATATCGCATTTGCATTTGCTCCAAAATTGGCAATCACAATTACAGAACAATTGGATTTTGGGAAATTACAGAAATCACAATTTGATTGATTGATAGATTCCTTTTCTATTCAGCGAGAAAAAGAGAGGGTTTTTTTTTTTTTTTTTTTTTTTTTTTTGGAGAAGTGAAGAAAGGATTAAGTAGGATCACCATTTTTGTGTGGAAGACTGGAAGTGATCTCATGATGATGGATAACGATTGCGACCGATTTTTTTTAGTACAGAATTTAAGGTATAACAGTCTGTAACAAGTCTAAGCACTGTCAAAACGGTTTGACCGTTCGGGTTCGGTTCGATTTGAAATCGGTTTAAATGTCTCGCGGGTCAGTTTCAGTTCAGTTTAAATAGTTATCGGTTCGATCCGATTTATTCTTGAGCGGTTTTAATTCGGTTCGGGTTGTAAACGGTTCGGGAAGTAAACGGTTCGGTGTAGTCGGGTTACGGTTTGTTAACGGTTCGATGTAAATGGTTTTTATGCCGGTTCAAACAGTTTCGGGTTGGAAACGGTTTCGAGTTAGAAACGGTTTGGTTCAGTTTTATTTTGGTTCGGTTTGTTAACGGGTTTGCCTTTTATACGGTTTAACGTTATTCGGATCAGTTCCATTTCACATTTACTAAATTATGGTTTGAAACGGTTTTTTATTTCAAAAAGTGGGTTTTTAATCGGGTCGTTTGGATTCGGGCAATTAAACGATTTTGGTTTGAAATTTCATAATACTTGCTAACCTTTTGCTGGTTAACAAGTTTTATATCAAGTCGAGACTTCATCACTTCATATTTAGGCATTAGGGATAATATTATATACAAATTCTCATCGATTTTAAAAATACATATCATGTTATTTTCAAGTTTAGTCATACTGATCTTACTAGCTTATTACGAAGTAACGTAGATTATAAAAGTTTAGTGTATTAATGAATTATTATTGTTTTACTATCACATTATTAGCTGCTTCTTATTCAATCATCTAATTGATGTGTCATAATCATGATTTGATGAGTTATTGTGAGATCGAAATTACAGTTTGATTTATAGACAATTCGGTTTGTAAGTGCGTGGTTCGGTTCATAAACGGTTCGGTGCAAACGGGTTGTAGTTTGCTAACGGTTCGGTGTAAACGGTTTTTATCTCGGTTCAAACGGTTTCGGGTTAGAAACGTTCGGTTTTTTTTCGGTTCGGTTTGATTTCAGTTCGGTTTAGAACTGGTTCGGTTTGTTAATGGGTTCGGTTCTTATATGGTTTGACATTATTCGGATCGGTTCGGTTTCGGTTTTACTTAAATACGGTTTGGGTCGGTTTTCAGTTTTACAAAATCGGTTTTTAATCGGTTCGGTTCTCATTTGGATCGGTTGGTTTCGGGCAGTTAAACAGTTTCGGTTTGAAATTTGACAGCACTAAGTCTAACATCTTGTACTTTTTCTTCTGTTTTTAATGTGAATTCAGTAATTTAGAGCTAGGAGACTTTTACTCTCTCCTATCGACAGATTATATTCTCTTTCATCCACGTTATTTTTCACTATTTCCTTCTTCTTCCTCTTTTTATTTCTATAATTTTTTCACACATCAAAGAGAACTCTCTCTCAACAATTGTTGTTGTGTTCTCTCAATAATTGGAGAGAACACTCTCTCAACAATTGTTGTTGCGTTCTCAAGACTCGAACCAAATCTTTAGTACCTTCTACTTTAACATTTTGTATTTACCTCAGCTCCTTTTGAAATTGCGGTTGAATTTCCTTCATTTTTATTGCTTGTTTCATTTTTTTGAACACATAATTTTAGGAGAAATGATAAAAAGTACAATTTTATGATAAAAATTTTTGAAAAGGAAATGCAAAAGTAATAAAATATGGACGTAAAAGAAAAACAGAGGATGGGTATGAAATTAGCCAATTTGGTAATACAACAATAACTTGTCAACTCTTCTTCTCAGCTTTCTTTTTCTTCCTTTGCAACTGATTCTGCTAGTACAACTATTGTTAAATTTTGTCAAAAAAAACTTGTAACTACGCCACAAATGTCGCCCTATGCATAAACAACCGCATCAAGAGCCATTTCAAAGAGACCACCAGTTTCGCCGTTGTAACAAGGGTTCAAACCGTATCTAGCAAACTTGCCCAAGCCACCAGGCTAGACAACCTAAACTTTAAACTATTGACATCAACCCCACCAATTTCTAATAGTTTTATTACTTAATGTATTTTGTTATTAGTTTTGTATGAACAATTAGTTTTCAATTTGTTATTTAATTAGGATGACCTTTAATAACTACCAAGCAATTATATTTAGTACAATAAAATGAATGAACAGGAGATAATATTATTCGTTTACAAAAATAAAATAAATTAAAGGTAATCTCCACTTTTATATTTTAATCATTTATCTATCTTGATCGTCTTTATTGTTACATTCTTTATTATTTTCCTCATCCCATATCCTAATATTTAATTCTAGAAATTCCTATAAAACTCTACGTGCAAGTTAGTGTATTACTTATAAGAACGGAATGAATAAGAGAGAATGATATATAAGTTTAGTATAATATTCATTCATCAACTTATAATGTTGATTCTTAATATGCAAACATGGCATTCTTCATAACTGTTTAACACAATATATATAGTGTAATAGGTATATTTTTTTTACACAAGTCAATAGGTATAAGTACTAGTGCTTGTCACAACTCACAATTGCTTTTTCATATATATAAATAAATATGAAAAGTTAAAATCAAACTATTTTTTTTCAAATTAAAATCAAAATATATTTTACACACATAAATATATGTAGTTAAGTGTTATACACCACAATGTCATCAATCCAATTGAATTAGAAGTTGTTGCCTTAGCTTGAAGATGTAGTTGATTATCAACCTTCACCATTTCTACAGCTCATATGTCATCCCAACTTTAAGCAATCTCTTACGAGGAATATCAAACATCTTATCACTTTGTCTTAAATTCTTCTTCATAAAATTGAAAGCAAAATCAATGACAATCCTCTTTCCAATACCAGATGATTTGTTAGCAGTTACTTCACTTTCACCCATCATATGTACCACCCCTGCATTCCATGCCTTGTCGATCACCTCGATATCTTTCTCCAACACTTCCTCTTGAGCCCTTGTTAGCACATGTTGGTTACCATCACCATGGTGAATTTGATCACTTTCGTCGTGTTCATGGACTTGAATGCTTTCGGGATGATCCATTTGTACATAAACCCAAAACTCGTCCTTCATAAATTCCTTCAATCTGTCAATTAATAGCCTCTCAAAAGGCTCTTCCTCATTACGAGCATCAGTGTATCCATATCTTACCACACAACGGAACACATAGAGGTCCCTTGGGTGCACTCTACGAAACAGAAATCGTTCCTCTGGTGGAACTGTACTAATAGGCAAAGACTTGACTGATGCAAAGACAAGTACAGAGTGTAAAACAGAGATGTTCTCCACATAATGACCGAAAATAGGAGGGATTCCATCAACTAGCTCGGAGTAGAAGATTGCTAGCCCTGGTATACGACTACAATTACTTTGATTAGCAAGATCCCTAAAAGTATTGGGTGAGATTTTGTGGTCCATCTCGTAGTGGTACTTCTTTCGATATACATAGTTCCATATGACCATAAGGGCAAGAAAGACACTAGCTAATGCTATTGGAAAATATCCACCATGAGGAAACTTGTAGAGCACCGAACTCAAGTAAACCAACTCGACTGACCAAATGCAGCACGCGTATATGATGGCTATTGCTATGTGTTTTTTTCCAAATTACGAGTATAACAAGTATCATGAAACCTGATGTGATTGTCTCAGCAAGTGCAACAGCAATACCTGTCACATGAGTTTTTAGTTACTAAATGCCCCTTATGAATCTTATAGCTAGTTTTTAGTAAAATGAAGAAAGAATCAATGTAGCTTACCATAGGCATGACCAATATTTTCGGTTGTTCTAAAAGCAAGTGTGACACCTACACAAGCCAACATAAGGAAGTAATTAATCTCCGGGATGTAAACTTGGCCTTCATATTTGGCTGATGTATGAATGACTTGAACACGAGGGAAGCATCCTAGAGCAAGGGATTGTTGGATGATAGAGAAAGTTCCCGATATCATGGCTTGACTTGCTACGATTGTAGCTAGAACAGCTATGACAAACATTGGCCAGTACAATGGACCTGATAAAACAAATTAAACCAAATTAAGGTATGTAAGATATACTGTTTGTTTATGTTAGATGAAAACACCATTCATAAAAGCATATTACTATAATGTGTTATATCCTTATATGTCACAATTGTATACAAAGTACATTGTTATTTACGATAAAATACATAAACGATAAGATCAGTAGAAGAAAAAATAAGAGTAACCATAATCATTCACCTGGTATGCATTCATAGAAGGTATCTTTAACTAGATTTTGGTTCAAGCGAAGGAATGAAGCTTGCCCCGAGTATGTTAGCATAAGCGCGGGATATGTAACAAAAGACATACTTAGTTGGATTGATTTAACAGAAAAATGTCCAACATCAGCAAATAATGCTTCAGTCCCTGCATATACAAAGACAATGTGAATTATGTAAGTAACAAACTTATCAATATCGGATTTTAGCAATGGGCAAATACAAATTTATCTGCTAGATAAACGAAAACAAATTTTTGTTAATTTGATGACATTTTTGTAAATATATTGAAAAACCGTGGTCAATTATTTACTACTTTTGGTGAGCTGTCCAATTACTATTTGCAACTTGTTTTTATTGTTTGGTGAGGAAATTACACATGTATCCCTCAACTAATACATAAAAAACGCATGTATCCCTCAACTAGTACATAAAAAAACGCATGTACCCCTCCACTGATACTTGAAAAGATGATTATACCCAGATAAACAAATTTTGTTTATCGGGGGAATTAACTGGGTACAACTCTTTTAGCAATTCATCAAATAGTTAGAAATAAATGCTTAGATCCTAATATCATATACTACCTCCGTTACATATTATTTGCAACGATTAGACATTTTTCCTCTCTAAATTATGTCAAATCGTTGCAAATAATATGTAACAGAGGTAATATATATATTGAAAGAACATTGTACAAAATCATGAGTAAGTAGAGATATGACAAACCTGTAATACAAAGGAAGACACCACCAAGGGAGATCCAAGCATCTCTACCATTCCTTTTAAAATATTGAATAATGTACCATGGATTTACTGCCTTAATAACAGTAGGATCATATTTTATGAAATTGTAGACACCAATTCCAGCATTAAATGCAAACCATACAGTTACAATTGGAGCAAAACTATATCCTACTTTATCAGTCCCAAATCTTTGAGCTGAAAATAGTAAAACCAATATGCCTATTG